AGAGAGAAGAGAGAAAAAACAATTCATTTCTAATGCCAATTTCATGGGCCTGGGAGACGGAGAGACAGGAGAAAGATAGAGAAAAAGAATCAGAGGGAGAAAGAGACAAAGAGATAGACAACCCCCCCTTACACACACAACGAAAAGAGACAACGAAAAGAGAGAAAAAAAAAATCCCACCCAAAATCCAAAAAAAAAAGTGATAGGAATCGCCAAAGGAAGACGAGAGGTTTTTCCCGCGATTCACTTTCATCACAAGAGGAATGTTGACCGCCGCCGAAACATTCCCCTCCCCCCCCCCCTCCCTAAACCTCTCTCCCTCTCTCCCTCATGCATCTACCTCATTTCTCTACCTGTGTCGCTCCTTTTATCTCTACCTGCGCCGTTTCTGCCTCTGCCTGTACCCGCAACTGGATATTTCTTCACCGCAAGCGACACGCAGTACAGCACGCTGCCTTTTTATTCATTTAACTATTTATTCATTCACTAATTCATTCATTTCTTTATTCATTCATTTATTTCTTTTTCAATTCATATATTTAACTATTCATTATTTTTTTCCCTTATTTTACTAAACATTTTGGACTTTCGTAAGTTATCTATAAGCTGTGTCTATCATTTTCAATTCTTTTTGTTTAAAGTTTTGTGCCGCCCACGAATCTCAAGTTTGGCAACCATGACACGCAGTAAAAAAAAATCTTTCTTAATACCAATTTCATGGACGAGAAAGCAAGTCTTTTTTATTATGAACTAATCTAAATCTCATTAATAATCTTTTTTTTCTCTCTCTCTTTCGAACAACTTTCGCTCATCAGTGTTCTAGTGTAGGCCTATTGCGTTTTTGAGAGGCCTTCACGCCACGCACTTTGTCTCTCCGGTGAATAGTTTCCCCCAAACCACCCCCTCCCCCTCCCCCCTTACGCCGTCGCCCAGGATTGACCGCACGAGACACTTAAAATGCCTTTTCCCTTCGCCTCTTGAGCACATGGAGGGCACTAAAGGCGGGTTTCCTGTGAACTCATCTCCTGAACACGGGTTTTATCAGTTTACTTTGTTCTTCTCGGACCTTTGCTCTTCCTTTTCTGTCTTACGGTCTCTCTTTGGTTATCTCTCTCTCTCTCTCTCTCTCTCTCTCTCTCTCTCTCTCTCTCTCTCTCTCTCTCTCTCTCTCTCTCTCTCTCTCTCTCTCTCTCTCTCTCTCTCTCTCTCCGTCTACCCATCCTTTCTCCTTCCCTCACCCATCCCTCCTTCTTTCTCCCTTCTTTCCTTCTTCCCCCTCTCTCTTCGACCCTCTCGCCTTTCCTTCCATCCCTCCCTCTCTCTCTCTTCCCTATTTCTTCTTTCCTGTTACCACTTTTTTCATCCTTTCTTCCTCCCTCGCTCCTTCCCTATTCCCCTCTGCCCCCCCCCCTCTCCTCCTCCCTCACTCCTCCCCATTTCTCTCTCTCTCTCTCTCTCTCTCTCTCTCTCTCTCTCTCTCTCTCTCTCTTCTCTCTCTCTCTCTCTCTCTCTCTCTCTCTCTCTCTCTCTCTCCCGCTTATTTCCTCATCATCATCTCTTTTCCCCCTTTCTCACTTCTCTACTTTCTTATCCCTTTCTCTCTCCCTCTCCCTCTTCCTACCTTCTTATCTTCATATTCCCTTTCTCTGCCCTTCTTATTTCCCTCTTACTTTCCTTTCTGCCTTTGTTTTTCTCTCTTCCTCACCCCTTGTCTTTTCTCTCTCCTTTTTTCTTCCTCCATTTTCCTTCCCTAATTTCTTTTTCTCCCTCTTTCTCTCTCCCTCCGTCTTTTCTCTTTCTATCTCATTCTTCCCTCAGCATCCCTTGTTATCTCCCTCTTCCTTTTCTCCCTTCATATTTCCCTCTTCAATCTCTTTCCCTTCTTAACTCCCTCTTCCCTCTTTTTCCTTCTTCCCCCTTCTTGTCTCCCCCTTCCTTCTTTCTCCCTTCTTATCTCCCTCTTTCTTAACTTTCTGCCATTTCTTCGCCTTCTTCCCCTCTGTCTTTTCCCTCTTTTTTCTCCTCTTTCACGCCCACTGTCTATCCCCGTTCCCTTCTCATTCCCCTCAATGTTTCCCTCCCTCTTTCTCTCTCCCTCCGTCCTTTCTCTTTCTAACGCCCTCTTCCCTCTTCCTCCATTCCAATCTCCCTCTTCTCTCTTTCTCCCTTCCAATCTCCCTCTTCCTATCTCCTCAGCCATTTTTTATTCCCCCCCTCCCCTCCCCCTTCTGCATTACAAACTCACAGTTAATGATCTCCCACTAATGTCCGCACGCCAAGGAAAAAACGCAATGACAAGGCAGTTTGCCATTGCAATTACGGCAACCGCATGGCAATTACGGCGCCTGCGGTAACATGATCACAAGCACTGTCATTCATCACAATGTCATTCACAATAGCTAGCATTCGTTACAATACACCATACCAAGAATCATCACCTGTGCAGCGAAGGCCAGTGTCAGGTAGGCCTACAAAGCACCGGGTCCTTTTAAAATCGAAAAGCCGAAAAAAACTCTATAGGCCTAGACTATATGTACTGAATAGTGCGCCGAGGAAAATAAACATCAAGATACGGAAAAAACGCACATAAAGACCGACATATCTTTTATAAGCATGGTAATTGTGGTGAAGAGTGTGGTGGCTGTAACCATGATAATGATGGTGGTGATAATAATGAAGGTGATTGCAGTTATCATGATTATAATACCGATGGTCAAAATACTAACAATGACGGCAGTGGGTGATGATGGTGGTGGTGCGATGATGATGATGATGATGATGATGATTGATGATGATGATGATGATTGATGATGTGATGATGATGATTGATGATGATGATGATGATGATGATGATGATGATGATGATGATGATGGATGATGATGATGATGATGATGATGATTTGATGACGATGATGACGTATGATGTTGGTGTGATGTTGGCGGTAATGATGGTGGGTATGACTTTTGTGATTGATGGTGGGTGCGTGATTGGTGATGGTGGTGATTGATGGTTGTGGATGCTTGGCGGTGGTGGTGGTGGTGATGGTGGGGGGATTGGTGACTGGTGGTGGTGGGGATGGTTGGTGGTGACTGTGACTGCATGGTGGGTGTGGTGACTGGTGATGGTGGTTGGGAGGTGGTGACTGGTGGTGGTGGGGTGGTGACTGATGGTGGTGAGTGGGTGGGAGAGGACTGGTGGATGACTGGTTGGTGGGATGTGTGGGATGGTGGTGATGGGGGTGGGTGGTGACTGATGGTGGGACTGATGGTGGTGGTGGGGGGTGGGGGTGGTGAGCTTGATGGTGGTGGTGGTGGGGTGGTGGTGAGGCTGATGGGTGGTGGGTGGGGGGGGTGATGGATGGTGGGGGGGTGGTGGGATGGTGATGGGCGTGGTGGGTGGTGGGGGGGGATGATGGTGTGGGGGGGTGGGATGGGTGGGGATGGTGACTGATGGTGGGTGGGTGGGGGTGGTGACTGATGGTGGTGGGTGGGGGGTGGTGCGGGATGGTGGTGGGTGGGGTGGTGACTGATGGTGGTGGTGGTGAGACTGATGGTGGTGGTGGGGGTGGTGACTGATGGTGGGGTGGGGAGGTGGTGACTGATGGTGGTGGTGGGGTGGTTGGGACTGATGGGTGGTTGATGGGGGGGGGTGGTGATTGGTGGTGGTGGGGGGGTGGTGATTGATGGTGGTGGTGGGTGGTGACATGGTGGTGGTGGGGTGGTGACTGATGGTGGTGGTGACTGGCGGTGGTGGTGGCTGGTGTGGTGGTGACGATTGGTGATAATCAATGATGTCGATCATGTGATATTGATCACATGATGATGGTGTTATCACATTGATCAGCATCCTCTCATCACCATGCCCAGATGATTGATGAAGATAACTGATTATTGATGATGCTGAGGACTGCAATGGGAGTGACTGAAGACTGTCACACCGATAATGCTATATATAGTGATGCCAATTGAAGACACGGTAATTAGCAATGCTCAGTGACAAAGACAGACACAACTCGAAGAACCCCATTCACCATCGCCACTATCAAATCAAACCCGCCGAAACCAGCAAAGGAATTTAAAAAAGGAAATGATACAAAGGCTTATCTCCAGCCTACGAATTTATCTCTGCAACCTCCGAAAAATCACGAGCATCCCAAAATATATCAAAATACATGACAAAAAATTCGCAAAAGACAGTTTCCGGAATTATCATCTTCGAGACGTTTTTAAAAACATATATTTCTTATAAGATGTATGCACCATTTTTCGGTACTGACCTGTAACCTCATTCTGGTCGTCGAGGGTAAAGTCACAAAATTCTTGCGATTCCTCGATTTCTTTCCCTTGGAGGAGCAGCTTGATGTTCCCCTCGATGGAATCCATCCTTATTCGCCTGAACTTGAGAATCCTGGAAGGACGTTCAACACCTACACTCGACAAGGACTCAAACGAGACTGACTGAAGTTCAGCGGCTTCCTCAGCACACGACTGGACCGACACTGTTACCAACGCCCTCTTTTGGGGGGTCCTTTTATTATCTGTGTCATAGCAGCTTTAGTCTTGATATTTCCTTATTGAAGTTCTTTTTATTCTTCAAAAATACCTCAGAATATTTTTTAATGGTCTAGGTAAATTTTTGAGAGATGTCAAAGCTGCGTCTTATTCCGTAATATTTTTTATGGTAACAATTTTACGCCAAACGGTATACGGTTTATTTTACGAAATTTCTGGAAAAATTTATATGTTTCAGGACTATATAAATTAGATAATCTGTCCATACAATATGCTAATTTTTTCTGTCAAATTCTAATCTGCAACCTAACTAAATTTAAGATAAAACTGATAAACATGCGATTGCATTTTAAAGATTACAATATTTAGATTATCATAAATCTAATCAAGAACTCATTTCTTACTCCAAAGTTTAAATCAATGATAACTAATTCATAACAGAATAAGAAAAAATAAAACTATAATATCATAATAAAACAGGTTTTGTCGGAATCGCAGAGTGTTGTTGTCATCACAGTCGTCATAAGAAATCTCTCACACCTGTAACTTGTGACCTGTCACCCCTTAAGAATTTATTTTGGCTAGAGAAACCATATACTATACATTTCTTCAGTTGTTTGACAACTGATACGAGATGGTAAGTTTTTAAAAAATGGAACATGATTACGTGGCGTCTCGTAGTAATGGGATATTACATGAAAATAAGCTAGCCAAGGATTTTAGCCCAGAAAATTATTTTCATATTTACTAAAGAGTTACACAATATATTCAGTACCTGTTTTCATACCATTATTAATCAATCTTCAGAAAAAAACAGGATTTAAAGACCTTTGATATTGTTTTCATTGTTAGTTCTACACATATTTTGTATAACAAAACCTGTCTTTGGACTGATCTGAAAACACT